GTTGACCTAAGCCTGCTTTTCCTCGAGATCCACGGCACAGCTTTCACTGGCTTTACTTGAATAGCCATTCTCAAGCATTCTAGATCAGGCCCGCCTTTAAAAATGGATTTACTAGTTTGATATTTATGTAGGGATATGTGTGCTTGTTCTCTGGCAGCCTGCCTCCCCTCTGAGATGAGCATTACCCCCAGCCAACCTGCTGGGTTTGGGTGGTAGAGGTGAGTCTGCACTCTGCTTCCAGCAAAGGCTGACTATCCTCTCACTCCTTTGTGCACCCTTGCTCGGAGTAAGTATCTCCCTTGAAAGCCCCTGGGCTACACGATGGCCTCCCTGTCGTGGTGCCTCCCGTGCTGCCCTGTCTGGGCAGAGCTCCCAGTGAGACATCTCCCTTCTCCACCTTGCTCATCTCTGCATCCAACTTTTAGTGCTTGCACCTGAGCTGCTGCAGGCAGGTTGGTGAGCTGGGGCACCCCAGAAGGGAGAGTGCAGCCCAGTCTCTGTGGCTCCATTGCCCCTGTCTCATCAAAACAGGGCTTTTCGTTGCATAAGTCAAGGGAGAACAGCTCAACTAGCTGCTGCTGTGAAGCTGGCACCTGGCACAGCCCCAGTTCCCATGCCCTGGTCCCTGGCTCACGCTAACATTGTATTTCATGGTGTACAAAAAGAAAAAGCTTTTGCTACCAGCTAGAGATACCAGTCTGTCCTAGGGGACCCCACAGGGTGTTTTATCCTTGAGATTGATCTCCACTGTCTCTCCGTGCATCGCTTCACCTTCCCCAGGAGCAGCGCTGGGTCGGCAGCTCTGCGCACCAGAGGCGGAGGAAGGGGTTGTCTTCTCTAGCTGAAAAGTGATGCCAGATCTCTCAAATGTGGTATTTGTACTGTAACCTGGATTAATCTGTCTTTCTAAGGCGTATAATGGGACAGCAAATGTTGCTGAGATTTCATGAGCACAGGCCACTGGCTTACCAGGGGATGCTTACCTGGAGAGAGCTGCCCTGATGCCAAATACACATCTGAGATGTGTATTTGAGGGATGGTCCCTTTCAAGAACATCTGCTTGAGCTGGGAACCTCTAGGGCTGGTTCAGTCGCTGCAGACAGGTCCAAGTCATTAGCAGGAGTAAAGTAAAACCAGAGATGTTTTATTGCTTAATTAGAGTTTCCCCCCAAGCTATTTTGGTACATGGGTTGAACATTCACTAGGAACTTCTTCAAGCCCTAATTAGCTGTACACGAGTAATAAGGGCTTTTATGGTAACAACGTAGATGAGTACATAGGGGTTCTCGGGCCTCAGTGTGGTCACATCTCCCTCTTTCGGCTGCTACAACACACCAGCAGCCTGGAGGCAGGAAACAGCGACTTTTAGTGCTTTGCTGTCTTTGCTGCTGTTTAGCTGTGTGGGCTGGGTGCGCTGCTGTGGATGGGTTATGAATGCAATTAGAAATGTAAAAGGATAGCCCCGAGGAATTGTTCCTGGAGGAGACAGTTATGGGTGGCTGTGGGCTTTTTGCATATACCGCAGAAATTTAGAAAGAGGGAAGGAAAGGATTTTTTTTTTTTTTTTTTTGTTTAGGTGAAACTGTGTCAGCAGTAGGTGAGTGCATTGCCCCTGTTGCTTCCTCGGGTAATCAGTGGGAAATGGTGAAGCAAGAGCTCACCCAAGCCTGAGGGTCACGACTGTAGTCACTGTGTGGGCAGCAGCTCTCCCTTCTCCTCCCAGCCCTCCAAGCAGACACACTTTGTCAGTAGAAATCTCCCTGTGATAGGCACCCGTTAGTCTTTGAAAACTAGCTGCTGTATCTTGGGCAGCACTAGAATGTAAATGAAGTTTCACACCATACCCTGCACAGCACCACCAGTGAAACCCTAATTTCTTAAGAGTTCACACCCTATTTCCCTTATGCTTTAGGCTCCATTGCCCCTAGAGTAACCCCCGCTCTCCCCACATCCCAGTAGATGTGCTGCCTTCTCCGTATCGATGCTCATATGACCTAGATGGAGGGAAGGCAGTATGAGTCCCCCCTTCTTTCTCTGCCAGCCGGCTACTGCTTTCCAAGGCTCTCACAAGAGCATGGGGCTGTGATTCAGCTCACGCCACTTGAGCATTGTGCAGCAGACCTGTGCCTGCCTGGGTGCAACTCCCCTGACTCCAGGAAGACCAGCACCCCCGGAGGAGGCAGCTGCACCCCCAGGCTCCCCAGACAGGAACTCTGCTTGCAGAGGGATCGTGGAGTGAGCAAAAGGTGGGTAAATGCTCCCTCTGCATCCCTGACACCTCTGTGCTCTCTGTCATACTTGGCTGAAGGTGGACAGGGGGTTGAAAAGCTGCTAGGGAAGATGCCAGCCAGAGAAGTGCCCTGTGGTCTTATGTCCTTTGCAGAGTCTCTTTAGCCCTGCTTTATTTTTTCCTATTTCTGTTGGATGGAAAATCTGTCTGGGAAGAATTCAAGCTAAGGATACAAGTGGCGAGGCCTCATCACAGGCAAAAGATAACTGACCTGAGATGCTGTTTGTTGTGGTCGTGTTGGTCTATGTTTCACAAAAGCCAGTGTAAAACACAGCTCTGTAGTTCCTGCTTCCTTGCAGTTATATGACAAACACTGGAGCAAACAATATTGCTCCAAATACTGGGTCCAATCCTGTTCAACATCTTCATTAATGATCAGGTTGTGGAGTCTCCCTGATCAAACTCAAACTTCCTGATACTCAAACACCTTCTGGACATGGTCCTGGGCAACCGGCTCTCAGTGGCCCTGCTTGAGCAGGGGGGTTGGACAAGATGATCTCCAGAGGCCCTTTCCGACCTCAGCCACTGTGTGACTCTGTGATTTGGGGCATTGCCTTGCCCTCAGCCCCCACCTGCTGCTTTGCTGACTCCCGCGAACTTGCATGTTAGCAGAGGAAGCAAGAAACTGCTGTCCCAGGGACTCTGTGTACAAGGGCTTTGTTCCAGCAGGATGTCTTCAGTAAGCTTGTATCTTATGTCCCCTAATTGTTTAGCTATGGCCAAAAGAATTTTCTAACCCTTTCCCTAAGCCAGACCATTATTTAAGCTCTGAGGTAGTTACTGCCTGCAGGAACACCACTGTCCTGTCCTTCACGGTGCCACCAGCAGTGCTTCTCAGATGCTGCACATTTGGGTCCAGCACCTGTAAGCTTTGGGATGTGTTCCCATCTGCATCCAGCCCCCTGCTTCCTGATCCTCCTGACAAGTTGCACTTTGGAGCAGACTGACCCCAAGGCATTGGGGTGATGGTGCAGGTTTAAAGGAGCATGTTGGTTAGTGGGGGCTGCTCAGCCCCGCAGGGATGCCACCATGAGGAGTAAGCCCTTTTTGCTGCAGTGTTATTCTTTTCCCGACAAAAGGCAAGAAATTCTCAGGGTAATGCTTTAGAGCAGAAGTTATCAAAGGTCTCTAGGGACGTAAAGGGGTAACTTAAACTATGCATTTATTTAAAAATGGATTGACTAAATTTGGTGTTGGGGTTGTAAAATATACAAACCTCAAGAAATGAATATACAAACAGAAGCAGGAAATCTGGCTAGCTGCACTTGCAATGCGGGAACCACTGTAAAACTGCCCCTATTTCAGAGACCCCATCCTACCCTGACTTTACCACATGCTTCCTTACCCCTGCAGACGCACTGCCTGCGGATCACCCTGTGTGCTCCTCTGATGCTAGAGCTGTGATTTTCCTCTCCTGTGTTGCTTGCTGTACTCTAGGACCCAGCTGGCACCTTGCAGCACATCCAACATCTTGACCTCCTCCCAATCCTCTTCTCGCTAAGCATTTTGCATGGGGATGTCATTGCTCATCCATAGTTATGCATCACCACCCTCCCACAGCCCTCCTGCCATGCCTCTCCCAGGACGTCCCTTCTTCTCACAGTCTTCCCCTCCCCACCGCTGCCTCTGCCAGGATGAGAGCCCTTAACACAAAACGCTTTGCCACTCGCCATCGGGTGGAAAAGTGGCCACTGAATCCTGGTCACAGGGAAAAGAAACCTCCTTGGGTTTTACATCCCTACAGCAATGGGGCTGCAGACCTCAGGGCCCAGCTCCTCACCAGCTTATGTTAAAACCCACAGGGACTGACAGGTCCCAAATAATGTGCTCCTCTTTCACCATGGGCAGGTTGCGGAGACGAGATGTTTGAGGCAGTTTTGCCAGTGGAAGCATGATGTAAGGGGATGCGGGTGGGTGTTTAACATGGCACTCTCCTCCCAGGTGATGGGCTGATGGGGGCTGGTTGAGGGGCCGAGCGGTGCTACCTGTGCACTCTGCTCTCCTCCAGCATTATGGGTAGCACTGCTGGTGAGCAGTTGCTCCTGGGCTGCTTCCACCAGCGCACAGTCACCTGCTTCGCCACAGTGCACAGCTGCGTGGGGGGCTCTTGCCAACAGCACAGGGGAGGCAGGGGGGAGTGTTGTTCATGCTGGCTGCAACAAACACTGGTTTTACATCTCCCAGACAGGGTCAGCTATCCCCGTGGGGTGCTTGAAATGCTGGAATTCACCAGCTGTTTTCTTTGGACACCAGTGTGTTGTATCTGGACAGAAACTGAGGGATGCTGTTGGACCAGGCACATCCACTGGTCTGCTGTGCCAAGAAAACTTTGCCCGCTGCTAGAACCTCTGCCTGCTTTATAAACAGAAAGGCTGTTTGCCCTGATCTGTGGCCCTCTGGGGAAGAGAAGGAAGGCAGCTCAGCCAGGGTCACAGGGATAATTGGGGCAGGGCGATTTCCCAGGCTCCAACCTCATGGCTCTATCCCTCGCCTCCAAGGGTCTCTGATAGGACCCCACCAGCTTTGAGCAGGGGAAAAAAAACCACACAGCATAAAATCCCAGCACCTGAGGCAAGTGACAGACCTCATCCAAGGAACTGTCTTACAGGCCAGAGAGAAAATACTCAGAATAACGGATGCTGTACAGAGTGCCGGTGAGGTGCTTAGCACATGGTGGCTGCACACAGGACCCAGGGCTGCTTTCACAGTGTCAGCTGCGGAGCAGTTCCTGGGAGCAGGCAGCAGCTTTGAACCCTTCAGGGATGTTGCTGTCCAGTTTGGAAATGATTTTGTAAATGGGTTTCTTCCAGGAGGGGTCAGCATCCTTGCCCGCCCTGATGGCACTGAAGAACTCCCGGAGCGTCAGGCTGGCCACCTCCAGGAACCGCCCTGGCACCTGTGGCGAGACAGGCATCAGCCCATGGCACCACCATGTCCCTGGCTCCCTCTCGCCCTGCCGCCCCTGTTCCCTGGCTCCCCCCTCCTCACCTCAAAGTCGTTCCCCTTGTTATAGTGCATGTTGAGGGCACGGAAAAGCTCTGAGTCCCGGGAGACCCGGAGGGTGCCAGCATCCACAACGCCCTCCACCAGGGCCTGCCGGGCAAACTTCTCCACCTGGATGTAGTAAAACTCGCGGAAGTTGCTGAACCACTTGATGAGCTGGGAGGTGATGCAGCGGCTGAACTGCCAGGGCAGGGAGAGCCAGAGGATAGGCATTACACCAGCTTGGAGCCTACTTGCCCATGAACCCCCACAAGCCCAGCCAAGCATCGCTAGCCTGGCCCCAAACCCATCCCTACCCCAGGGGTGCAAAAGCACCATCCAGGACCATGACATGGGGGTTTCCGCAGTGCCTCTCCCCGCTGAGAGTCAGATCCCAGCCACCCTGCAGTGGGGAGGCACACTCGTGTTGAGCTTTAATCCCAATACCTCGACTGCACAAAGCAAAGACCTGGCAGCCCAGGTCTGCCATGGCCTTGAGCACCCGCTCCAGGGCAGCCCGTGCTGAAGTGGGTGCCATCCCCCCTCTCCTGCCAGCGAGGTGGGGGGACACAAGAGCATCCTTTTCCCTGCAGTTCCCCAGCGAGGTGGGCTGGGTCCCACAATGCGTGGGAGCCCTGCCTGGCACCAGCATTTGGTGCTGCTGTTTTACCTGCACGTCAAGGAAGTAGGTCTTCAGCAGAGTGGAGCTAGGGTAGCGGGTGAAGAAAAACATCAGCTTGGCCTTCTTCAGGTGGCCGGGGGTCAGCGCCTCCTGCATCTGCCTTGGGGTCAAGGAAAGCCTGCACACAGCAGCCCAACTGGCTCGGCATATCCCTGAGCACTGGCCCTGGTGCCCAAAATAACCCCTCCCCATGGCCTGGCAGCAGGGTGGAGGGGGTTCATCCCTGGCTGGGCAGCCACTGACTTTTCCCTTTGGCATCCCCAGGGAGGCTGCTGCTCCCCATGGCACTTCCCAGGATGGTGGGAATGGGGATTTCCATGAGACACCTGTTCCTGGCATAGGATGACGGGACCACCGGGATGGCCTAAGAGCAGGCTTGGGAGCTCCTGACTCCTACCCCCAGCTATGCTACAGCATCTAACCAACCCTGAGGAGCAGCAGTGCCCTTCCATGACTCAGGACCCCTTTCCTGCCCACCCCTTTTTAGCCCCCTGTGGAGCAGCAGGGACCATGGCCCTGGGGAGACCAGCAGGGGCTGTGCCGACCTGTGGCTTTGGAGGATAAGGGGAGCATGTCCAAGCCCAGGGACCTCTCTAGCTCCAGCTGAGCCCAGGGACCTCTCCAGCTACCCTCAAAGGATACATGGGTGGAGGCGAAGGGCACACCATCCATCGCAGCCTGCAGCTCCCCGCAGCCATCCCTGCCAGCCGGCAGCCGCGCCAGGCTCTCCATGTCAGCAGGGCTCAGGGGCAGGGGATGCTGCTGCTGCTGTCTCACGACCGATGACCTCAGTTTGACAGTTCCCCAGTGCAAGTCGAGGGGCTCCAGAGGACCCCTCTCCAGAGCAGAGGGGCTCCCACGAGAGCTACTGCCCCAGAGGCTGTGCTGGCCATAGCCCAGCAGCTGGCTCAGCAGCTGGCTGTCCTGGACTGGGGCAGCCGAGACCAGCGAATAACCCATGCTGGGTACCTGAGAGGGTTTTCTGACCCCCTTTGAACCGAAGGAGCCAGCATGAGAGCCCAGGCTCTTCCCCAAAGCTCCTGACAGGGCCTCAGCCTGAGGTGAGCCCAGGGAGCCTGGTGCATTCCTGGGAGATGGCTTAGCAAGTGGCTTTCTGCATTTCCCAGCAGCAAAATACTCTCTCCTCACACCAGGCCCTGGCACTGGGAGGCTGCGGTGCTGCTGCAGAAGGTGGTTGGCTGCCTTCGGCCAGACAGTCTTCAGGACAGAGTCCACCACCTGCGACGTCACCCCGGCCAGCTCGTGCTTCAGCGCCTGCGAGAGGACCCTCGCTGCTGAGGGCAGGCCACCTGTGTCGCCGCTGTCCTCCTCCTCCTCCAGACCACGCACCTCCAGGACACTCTTCCAGAGAGGTGCTTTGCGTGCGTCGCTGGTGGCAGTGGCGCTGCCCTCGTCTGGTCCGTCTCCAGGCTTTTCAGGCAGTGGATGCACTTTCTCAGCACTTTCCTGGGTTTGGGCAGTGTCCCCAGAGTCGCAGACCTGGGAGAACTTCTCCTGAAGCCGCCTCAGTTGCTGCTCTAAAAAGCAGAGCTGCTCCTTCAGCTCCTGGCAGCCCTCATGCTGAGGGCTGCCTGCCATGGGGGCCACTTGCCCGGCTGCTCCTGTGGCCTGCTGGGGAACCCTCGGCTTCCTCTTACTCTCCCGGGGCATCTCACCGCCCCTCTCCCTCTCATGCCCAAAAGCTGCCTCCAGGCTGGTGCCAAATGCCTGAGGGGTTGGTAGGAGGCTCATGCCTTGGATGATGCTCTCCACCCTGGCCCGTTTGGCTCGTAGGTGCTGCCTGGAGAGCTGGTCCTGTAGGTGCTGGTCAGAGAGCTGATCCCTGCCAGCAGCACAGGGCACAGGAGCCGGGGCACGGGTCCTGGGGAAAGCCACAGTTTGCGCTCCTTCTCCAGGAGATGCACCACACTTGTAGTCCTGAGGCAGGGCCACTGCCTGAGAGGAAGGGAAAATGATGGTGGGATCCAGGCTCCTGCCAGCCATTGGGTGGCTGAGGAGCTGTGATATCAGGGACACACTGGGGGAAGGCAAGAGAGAGTCAGTCTGGAAACAGGGCTCCAACTTTAGCTCCTGGCTGTGCCCTGAAGTGACACGGTCTCTGTCCTGCTCAGAGCCAGTCCTGCCATCCAGCGTCTCTTGTTCCTGCCTAGACACTGGAGAGCTGACCCTCAGCTGATTGGGGATCATTTCCAGTGACAGATTGGCCGGCTTCCCAGGTGTTTGATGTTTCAGCCTGCTAGTGGTGTGGAGCTGGAGAAAGAGCAAGAAACATCAGTGGGCGGGAACTTCATACAACAGCTCTCCATGCACATGACCAGAGATTTTTCCTCCCAGATTTCCAGGGCATCCCTGCTCCCCTGCAAAATCTATTTGACCAGGGAATGACCCAGGCAGAAACCTCCAGGCGCTGCAAAACCCATGAGCAGGCCGTCGGGTGTTGCATGACAGCAGCAATGCCCTGGACACTGTCACAGCTCCCACCTACCAGCCAGGCTTTCACAGTGCCCAGAGTACATTTCACACGGTTTGGGCCCTGGATGCGCCCGGCAGCACGGACTTCTCACACCACCAGCTGCGCCCGCACCAGAGGCATTTGGGGAAACTCCCCTCTGGGCTCCGTGGACTCACGTACAAGGGTGGTGAGCAACAGATGGAGCCCTCTGCCACCCACGCCTGGGCAAAGGTGGTTTTGGGTGCTCCCAGGTGCTCACAGAGCATGGGGATGACAGCTACATCCCTGGTGAAGACATTCACAGCACATAGCGGCTAGGCCAGGACATGGCCGCTGCGTGCTTCTGCTGGCACCCAGCACCTGCCACCACAGCCCCAAGGGCACGGTGATGGGCGGCAGTGCTGTGGGGCCAGGGCGGCACAAACAGGCTGGTGGAAAGGGGCACAGCGAGGGTGAAAGTGTGACGTGACCTGCTGCGAGCGGGACACACCGGGTTGTTCAGGCTAACAGTACGGGGCTCCTAAGCATTTGGCAAAACACTGAATAAAAGGGATGGGGATTACCAGGGAAGAGAAAAACTACTGAGCCAGCAGCCCTGGGCTTAAAATTGTCATGCTGACTCCAGGCAGGGATCTGCCCCCTCCACTTGTTCGCTCACTCGGACAGCTTTGCAAAAGAAGGTACAAAAGCTCCTATCCTAGGCAATTAGAGGAACCATCCCTGTGGAGTGCTTCTTCCTCATCCACATTCATTAGCAGTAGCTTTGCATCCCTGAAGTAGGACAGTTTATGTCTTTTCCAGACACCTTTAAAGTGCGCGAGATTCTTTTGCTATACCCAGAAGTATCTGATCATTTTCAATACTGTCAGTCTCCTGTCCCTGTGACTGCTCCACAGCAAGTCCCCCAAGCTAATGAGCAGTGTAGAAAATGTTTTTTTTCTCACTGTTTTTTAGCAGGTTGCCTTTCTTCGAACAGCCCTGTATTCCAAGCAGGTATCTGGGAGAGCTCTACCTTTTGCAGAGCTCTAGTCTTGACAAAAGTATTTTCTGGGTTGTCCAACACCACTTGTTGCTCTCCCATATTGTCTCCCCACCCCTCCTGACCATTAGGGTTTTGTTTTGCTAACAGTCTGTCATGGGGGCATTCAAACTGCTCAGTTTACCCATGGCCAACGCGAGGCTGGGGTGCCGGCAGCTCTCAGCAACACCCCTCGCCCTTGTATAACAAGCTTCACCGTCACCTGCGGCTGCCTCTTAGCCTGCCAGTCGCTTCCAACAAAGCCACACAGCAAACGCAATGCAGTCATAAATTTCATCCACCCTTAAGCCTTTCCGCATGGCATGGGCACAAGACAGTCGGTCCTGATACCTCACTCGGTTTGTCACAGAAACACCTTCTTTTGGCACTTGGTCACAATTTCTCACCTCCTCTGTGTTCAACAGCACTGTCCCCTATGCTGAGGCTTCCCAGCCCCAGAAACATGGGGTGATACAACCTTCATAAGCAGATCGACTCAGAGCTGGCAAGAACCCCTCCACTTGCCTAAGGCTTCCAGCACCACCATCCTTCTGCTGGAGATTTGGAAAGTGGGAGCAGAGCCCGTGGTCCCAGGGCATGGCAGCCTGCCGTGGGTGGCCTCAGCTCCCCCCTGCAGCCTCCCCAGCGCCGCAGGGCTGGGAGGTGCTGCCCCAAGCAAAATGCTCCTGCTGATGCAGCCCTTTCCCCGCTGAGTTAGCAGATGCATGCTTCGGTTCCTACTCTTACTACCAGCCCTCACCAGTATCACCTTCCAAAACACCAAAAAGCAGCTGAGGCTCCTCTTACCTGAAGAAAAAGACCGAGGAACAAAGCGAAGATGCTCAGAAGAGAAGGCAAGCGTGTCCTCTCCAAAATGGGAGCCACCCCATGTGGGCTCCCCAGGTGCTCCTCCGTAGGAGAGCCGTACACGGAGCAGCCTCCCGCCCCTCCAGCACTGCAAATCCCCCCAGAGCCTTCCCCAGCCACTGCACCCCTCTGTCTTCAGCAAGCAGTCCCCAGCCCAAGCCACTGGCACCTCTCTGCCCCACTCACCTTGGCTCCAGGGGCGCAGGGAGCGCAGTGCCTGAGGGCAGGCGTCCGGGGGCCACTGGATGCCGCAGAGGCAGTGCCGGCACGTCCTCCCGCTGCGCTCAGGTCCTTTAAAGAGGGAGTGGGGAGGCCGGAGGCAGCCAACCGGCTGGGAACGACATCTGAATATGCAGATGGATGTCCAGGAGGTCAGGTCCAGCGTGGGGTCCAGCCACCTTCCCTGCTGCTCAGCCGTCTCCCAGGCTCATAGCCCCTGGGGTCGGACAGGCAAGGGCTGGTGCCCAGGTGGGCAGAGGGCCAGATGAGCAGTTTCCCCCTACAGTTTGGCCTGGAAACCCCATCTAGGACCCAGGGTGGTGAACCGTTGGTGAGATGATGCAAATACACTGGGCTAGAGGCAGTGCTGCAGGGAAGGAGGGAGCCGACCCGGAGCTCCAGGTGCTGCCCAGCTCCCACAGAAAGTGCCCAGGCATTTCCAACATCCCCCACCATGGGGACACAGAGGCATTTCGGCTGGCCTGAAGGTCTGCAGTGTAGGACGTGGCCAGGAAATGCAGCAACACAGGAAAAGCAGCAACACTGAGTCCCTTGCTTAACGCAGGGTGCTTTAGAGACACTGCTGCAGCGGGCAGAGCCAGCACCGCTGTCAGCTGAGCACACTTTGACCCCAGCTCCAGGACAAACCTACCTGCCCCAGGAGCACACGTGGTTGTGAGACATTTTGTGCAGGAGCTGTGGGGTGGGTGGACAAAGGCTAGCCACACGTGCCACTCTCGGGGCTTCGTCTGCTTTGATGCCACATGCTTACTGAACATGGTGATGTTTGGTGTATTCATTTGGGCGGCAGGAGGCCGTGGTTAAAAGCAGTTGACATCAGGTGGTCATGTTCAAGGATATTAGCCCTCGACAGACAGATCGCGGAGAAATCCCTGGCAGAGAGCCTTTCTGGCTCAGCTACCTTTTATTAAAGCAGGCAGCACAGCCTCAAAGCCTCAGAGACCATCCCCTGTTGATTTTTATTCTACCTCTTTTCTTTGAAAATGATCCCAAGGACGTTCATTGCGAATTTATATTAGGAGACTATTTTGGAGGTTGCAGTTTACCATTCATATATTATTAAGCAAGCAATGGCTAAATTAAGGGCATGCCTATAACCTGGACTTGGCTCCTTGAGAGAAGCCTGGCTGCCAGACAGCCTTTGATGACTATCCCAAGCTAATTCTCAGATTCTGCAAATGGGTTCCTTGCGTTTTCTTCCACCCATGGTTCCCCACCTGGAAGCAGGCAGCAAAAAGCAGCTGGCTGGGGTATCCTCAAATGTTTTCAACATACAGACCACATCTGAGGAACAGGGCTTACTTGTGGACTCATTTGCCTGTTTGCCACGGTGAGATGACCGCCTTGCCCATTTCTAACCATGCAACATCCCACTGGCGGACGCCTGCAGCCATATCATCCTACTGAAGCCCGACCCCATGCTTTGTCAAGGTGAGCAGGAAGACCACTGGTACAGCTGCCCTGCAGCAATCCGGAGTGGCTTCAATGAAAAGCGTCACAGAACAGCACCCTGTGGCAATACGCAGGTCCGCGTACGCACCAGGAACCGTAGGTAACATAACTCGTAATGTGGAAGCCCCTGTGCCCGCTTGTGCTGGCGGCAGCACAGCTTGTGGACAGGCAGGGCTGTGCAAAGGTACTGACCACCGGGACACAAGGCATAACCCAACCGTCTGCCTGCCACCCGGCCCCGCACGGGGCTGTGGAAGACATCTTAGCTACGGTTCCACAGGACCCTCCTGAGGCACCACAGCCCGTCCCTGCCCGCAGCCCCGTCCCCACGCCTGTCC